TGAATTATTTTTAAAAAGAAAACTATCTCTTTAAGTATCTTCATCACACTTGCTTTTTACAACTTAATCATCCCCAGGGTGAAATACTATTTCATCCTTTGGCTATCAGGCTAAAGGTGTCACAGATTTAAAGGTGTTGCCCACATAAAGGTGCTTGCAAATATTGTTGGCTGCTGCTATTCGAGCATTTACTGCTGTTTGTCTTTCCTGAATTGCAAGAAGTATTGCTGCAGGCAGTGAATATATTCTGAAACACCATTTGAGTCAGAGCTATTAAAAACAAGGCTATCAATGTGTCTTATGTTAACATTAGCTCAGTTAACTTGGATGACCTCTTTGGCAGTTGAACAATATTTAGTTTATTCTTCCTCCTGCCTGCAAGCTGAGTATCTGTAAACACTGAACACAAACCTGGTATCTACCTCTCTTAATTTCTTAATACCACAGCATTTCATAACTTGCTTGTATTGCTGCCCTCTGCTCCCTCCATGGGATTCGTATCTGTTGGAAATGCGCCGCATCAACATTATCTTCCCTGAGGATATGCACCAGTCTGTCATGTTGGAATTTATCTAAAGCCTTCTCAATGTCAACAAAGAAAGACAGAGAGAAATCTATTTGTACCAATATACAATATCTCAGGCTGAGAATTGCTTTATTCTGACTCCTGAACATAAACTGATTACAGACTGACTTGAATCTTTTTCTCTGTGTATTGCTGTATGTTCCATCAAGAACTGAAAATATTTTAAGGGCATACTGGATTGGACATACAGCTCAGTGCCAATCACTGTTTATGACATCAGCAATTGCTACAAGAATGAAGATTTTTGAAGCTTTCTTTTGAAGTATCCTGCATGTAATTGGTCAGAAAGTGTAAGCTACTTTGTTTCAAAGTATTAAGTGCCTATGGCATTTCACCTGTAATAGCACCCTCCTCCAGTGCTCTTCCATGCTCTCTACTTTCTGAAATGCCTTGAGTTTTCTTCTTTTCCCTCTTTTACTCATTGAATCTCCCTTTGAGATGTATTCCTTATAATTTTGAATCTATCTACAAAAACTTGAAATATTTCCTATTTTACATTCTTTCAAGCTCAACCTCAGCTCAAGAATCTGTTGATCCTAGCATGCAGAATGAAGCCTTGATATTGCAATATATCTGATTTCCTGCTTTTTTGTTCAGCTGGGATGATGCTGAATCCAAACATTCCAGGTAACAGAATCATGTCTGTTGTTTGCAAATTCAATCAACCTGTTTTCCCTTTTACATACAAAGCCAGGAATTCCGAATTACACTATCCATACAACTGCTTTATATACTAGGGTTAGCACTTTAATCAAGTTCTTCCAGCATCTCCTCTCTTTGCCTACTTTCTTTATAAGAACTATCCCTTATGTCTTCTTGGAAGTCTTCCAAAGTGCATGAAAGATTAAAATACAGATTCCAGATGGCAAGGTGTGTAATCACATGCAGATCACCTTCCCAAAGTGCTAATGGCCAGGCTTTTTTGACTTTTCAAAGATTCCTCCAAATCCCCCGTAAATGTCTTTATCCACCTTAAAGTATCACATCATACACATTGCCTAGTTCTATATGTTTCATTTCACAGAGTTCCATACCAGTATGCTTGCAAGTGTCTACTCTCCCCTGATGTTTTTGGAAGCTGTCTGATTTTACAACTAATGTTTATACACCATGTGGCAACCTTCAACTTAAGGGTTTCTCCACTCATGTTGTGCATATCTGATTTTACAGAAGGCAATCACTAACTTAATCGATTTCTACAGATGGATGATTAACCCCAGATTGGTAATTTAAAAGTCATAAATATATATATATAATTCCTTAGATTTTCATATATCCTTGAAGTGTTTAGCAAGTTTCAGTGAAAAAAAAAAAAAGAGTTTAAAAAACTTCTGCATAATTATGGCATTTCAATACAAAGAAAGGATATTGAGAAAGTTGAAGATGTAAATTGAGGACTTAAAGGAGAAGAAAGTTCAGTGTTAAGATGCTTCATCTTATCCTCGAAATGACTGTAAAATTTTCTAGCACTGGTAAAACAACAGCATTTCCTCTCCCGTCATTCTCGGATAAAGCTGAACGATGTCAACTGAAGCTTCCCAAATGATTTAGCTTGAGGCAGACACTCAAAAATCAATCTGAATGTTTTAAATCTGGCAAAGGTACAAGCATTTAAGAAGAGGATCTCATACCAGCAAATACTTGGCAATCTGAGCTGGAGGCATCCTTATTTGCCTGAGCTATAACAACTTCCCTGCTCAGATGTAAACAGCTGTTTCTGAGAAGCCGCTGTATAACTCTGCAGTGCTGGCTGTGCTTCAGGTACCAGGTATCACAATCTTTATGCACTAAAGCAACTGTGATTTTAATTATCATTAAAATCTTCTTCCCTATCAGCAAAAATAGTCTCTCACCAGAGTTGGTGGAAGTACTTGGCACAGTGAGAATAAGACTGGAGTGAGCATTAGAAAGCATACTGTACCATGGGAGCTGAGTGACCCCTGCTGTAACCAGTTATTTAAATGGAGCTACAAACCTTTCATTCAGAATTTATATGGCCTAACAAAGAGGGAAAAATTCATGAGATTGGCATATAGCATTTGTGAGATTACATGCACATTTAAGAAATTCTTTCTGTGAAGGCTTCAAGAAGAACATACATCAAAACGAGAAAGCTGTAAGCAGAATAAAAGCTCTGCAGTGGTTTACTATAGCTTCCTAACAGCCATTTGCTTTTAATCATTACTATTAAAATACTGAGCAGGGAATGTAATTAGAATAAATTTCAAATTGATCATGGAAATAAATAAATGGAATTAATTTGTTATTTGCAGATTTCCTCTGTGAAAAAAATATTGCTTGGTGAGATTATATCTCACATGTAAAAGGAATGCTGAAAAATGAGCTTGGCATTGGCATGCAAGGTGCAGAATCAAATAATATGCAGGGAGGGAGTTCTGTCTGCTAATTAAAAGTAGTGGATTGTAAGAGATTCCTAGAGACCAGCACTCCTTGCATGAATCACTTGAACAAACACTTTCAAACAAGGGCATCTCAAGCTGATTTACCCTATCTGGATATCATTCTGAAGTTCTCTGCGTACCAGTTGAAGCATCCCTACAACAGAGTTCACAAGCGAAGTTGGCAGAGGTGACCTTTTAGTGATGCTACTCTCTCATCTGCCTCAACAGAAGCAAGGACAGCCCCAAAGCTGAGGAGAACCTGCTCTCGCAAGCATTGTGCTCTATGCTTGGGTCTCCTGTGGTTCATTTAACACATGTGCAGATGGGCATCAACACGAAATCACCACAGAAAGTTTTAATATTTAAGGAGAGCAACAATAAAGTGTTTAAAAGGGAGGCTGGATCAAAACCAAAACTCAGGAGGGCTCCCAGATGGCCTTGACCCAGCATCTGGAGCACACTGATGCCCCCGTCACTGATCATCATAGTTGACTGGGAACGATAGCTTTTGACATGTTACTTAAAGCACAGAACCGTCAGGCCATCAATTCTCATCTGATGTTTCAACTTATCAAAGAAAAGAAGTCTCTCCATGACTCTATAATACAAGCAATAAACAACGAGAACAGGAGTTTTCTCAGGTATTTTGGTAGGAACTGGAATGCTCACCTGTGTTAAGTGACAGTAAACCACAGCTTCTTCTGCTTCATACACAACTTTGTATTTTACTGCTCTTATCTTTCTAACTGGAGAATTGTCATTTTTATCAAATCAGTTATACTGTTTGGATTAAGCCTAGCAGAGCCCTTCTGGTTTTTAGCATGTTTTTGATACTTAATGTATGTTCCATGCAACATTTTCCAACAACAAACAAACCTTCCAAAACTAGTTTACATGGAGCTGATTTGGGTTTAATCTTTTATAACGTGCTAAGTAAACAAACAAACAAAAATCATGTTATGTCATTCCTAAACTGCAAAGGTATTTCTGAATTCTGGAACTTACACAGTCAGTTAATAACAAGGATCATTTTATTATTTCTGTGCAGTTTATCACTTTGTTGATGCAGTTGGCAAATCTTTGCACTTCCGGAATGCTTAGCATTTAGCTCAGTGACATAAGTATCACATATGAATTCCTACAATCACTTTTAGCTAAATTCTACATATAGGTAGTTTCCTTACAGGCTTGAAATAGAGCAAAAATGTAGTCCTTTTAGGGAAGTGAAATGCAGAGGATATACTTGTATTGTGGTGACTTCTGAAGATGTTTCATTAAAGATGTATGTAGTATGAAGATGGAGGAAGGTAGTTCAAAAGGTTTTGACAGTTTATGGAGCAATCCACTTGATATCTTTGTTTTAAATGTATGGGATGTAAATATAAATGCACTGCAATACCCTCCATTCCAGCACTGCAGCTATAGTCACAGACTTTTCCTTTCGGCTTGGTACAATGTACCTCTGTTTCACACTGAGTGGTTTTTATGTTCCTAATCAATAAATTAACTCAAGTTATTTGAGTTGCAAATCCTTCTTTAAGGTTAACTAGGACGACAGATAACAAATACTCAAGCGAGCAGCACTGTGTAGCACTGAATAATGTTTGCAGCTGGCAGAGCTTCTATGGAGTATTTTTTTAGGTTATCATGGAAATCTATCCATATCTTTAGAAACTCTGACCACCTGCACATGAATGTGAATTCCCTAACTTCCTCAGTATCTTTATTAGAAAAGCTGCAAAGAATTAGCTTTGTAAGAGCAAAGCACTCATCATTACGCTTCTCCTTGTGCACTTTGGACACTAACAGAGCAATTATTACGGTTAAGAAACAGCAAGAGCTAGTGGTGCAGTGAGCCACAATAGGTTGCATGCAGCAAAAACCATATAGGATCTGCGTGGCCAGAGGAAACATTGCATATAGTGGAACCGAGGTTATAGCCCTGAGTTAAAATCATATAGAGCATGCTGATTTTGCAAAACTGAAAGATAAACAAACAATAAGACATTTACCTTCCACATCAAGGCACCTAGGTGGGCTATCTGACCAGATAAGGTTATACATGCACTCAAGGAACTCTGCCCCTTCTAGTTTATATCCAGGAAAGCATTGATAATACACCACTGTTCCTACGGGGAAGGAGGACTCGAACTCAGATATGTTAATGTAACTATGAGGAAGAACCAATGGCCTCAGGCAACCTGCAAATTAAGAAGAGGGAGGTGTCTTTTATTATAAGGTGCTTACCTCAGTCATCTTCACACATCTTGGCTCTAATTCCCAACTTAAGGAGTGCAGTATTTATTTATCACCTTCTCTGCTATGAATGGCATGTCTGCATGAGCTCCCTCAAACACATACACCTCATTATTGTGATTCAAGCCCTTTTGTTGTTTAGCCCACACACTTTGCTAGTGTGGGCTTCACTCTCAGCAAAGCCAGGAAAAGTTTACTGAAAATGACAGTATTTTGTTTCACAAACATTCACTGGTTTACCAGATGGCAATTTCTTTTGGAGGTAGAATCTTTAGTAAATAAAGATTGTCATTTACAGAAACCATGAGTTTTATTCCTCCTTTTAAAACTGACAGGCATATAAACCATCTTTAATATTAAGGCTGCTTCTGTCACAAAGTGAACACGACTGTAAAAGATTTGCAGACGGAATTAATGATTTTGAAATTCCAGTTTGAGAAATTGCAAAGGGACATGACTTCCTCTGAGCAGCCCCATGATAAACACTGAAGGAGGTCTCGGGTTAGGTTCTCGGAAAGTTAAGGTACCCGTTATCATCAGAAACTCTAAATGTAGTCAGAGACTACGTTCTACTTCTGGAATTACTTTTGAGGGATTTGTACCATGGATGGCGCTGAGCAGTAACAATTAGATCAACCACATTTAGTGCAAGAAAGAGCAGTGAATTTAATAGATGACATGACTTTATAATATGTCATTCACATTCAGAGTCTGTTTTGAGCTGGTATTTAGATAAGAGTTTGTACTAGAGAAAAGAATAATTCCTCATGGCCTTAGAATGACCCTTTTGGTGATAATACTGTTAATTTTTTGATTTGCAATAATGTGGAAGAAAGATGGTTAGTAATCAGGACGTGAAAAATAATATTATAAAGATATGACAATAATAGGAGGTGCATTATGGCAATCCATCAATAGGCCCCTTGCTGCTGCTAGGAATTTGTGAAGGATGTCCATAGGACTCTCGTAATTTTAAGCCTGAGAGGGAAACTAAAATCAGCCTCAGAACTTCTTGTCAGATACTGGTATCTAAAAGAAAAAGTCTTGACACCACTTCCAGTGGTTATTTGTTGCAATGGTCTTTTGAGAGAGGGACAAAAGCAAAAGAAAACAACAAAAAGAGCTTGAAAGCATTTTTACAGCACACTGTGCTATCAGAGCAGTGGTTTGATAGCTGCTTTTACTACCTGGTTATCTCCCTGCTCAAATAAAATTTCAAGCATCCTGTCTACTACCTATTGCTGGTACCCCGATCAAGTATGCCCCACATGTAACACACCGACTCCTGCAAACTGAGCAGCCCACTGACCAGGGTGATATAAGCAGCCTCCAGTGGGACAAAAAGAGCACAGACTGCTTGAGCAAGACCAAGCTTACTCTTCTCTGAACTGTATGAGGGGAAATTTTGTCCTGCTGGCTCAGAATTTTAATGCTCGTTGGGCTCCTTGTAATGCAGGACAGAGATTTACTTGAATTTGTATGAGAGCCAAGTGTTTGTGAAAATCCCTGGGTCTCCAAACATCTCAAGCTGCTTGAAAACTTCATTTTGACTTTTTTTTGTTGCTAAGTAATCCTCACCATTTCAAATCAGCAATTATCATTACAATCTTGTGGCAAAAATAATTTGAGGTTGGATTCTTATATGCTGTACAATCCTTTCCCACTGCTCCGCAGGAAAAAAAGGTATCTGAGCGTCATTGTAATCAAAGGGCCATGGAAATGCGATTGACAGCCTACCTAGTGCATGTAGACAAGTAGCTTTGATATTATTAGTGCTTGACATAGCAAAAGGAAAATTCTGGAGGCAATTTTGGAACGGGTTTGTAGAATTCGGCAAAATATGGCAGGTGCTTTAATCTGAAATGCCTATTCTCTACCTGCCTGGTAGTTACAGACTGTGGGTTTTGTGCAACTGATTTCTTAACTTTTATTAGCACTGCTTTTATTTTGAAATCAGTTAAGATTGAATACTGAGTAGCAACAATTGATTGTGTTGCATAGCATAAATACAGCAACAGAAGAAAGTAGTAAACCAAGGGGTACTTTGGGTTCTTTTGCTTACCCAGTTAATACTGGCTGTCACAAAATTTCCACCTGGATCTCTGGCAAATACAGTACCTGCATATTAATCTTTTGAGTATTCATCCCACCTAACTGCAAGAGTCTTAATCTATCTTAATTCGACGTGAGGTGCACCCACCTTCAAAAATGGGCTGTATACTTCACTGTATACGCACAATGCCAGTGCTGATAAGATACCCCAAAACTAGTGTCCACTTTATTACAGGTTCGTGAAAACTCCCTTTTTCTTGTTAGACCTATTCAATTACAATGTGTTCATCTAAAACACTAAGCTAGCCCTGTAATGTACCTAAATTTCTACATGTCTGTGCACCATGGTCTAAGACAAGACCTTGGGGGACAGTTTGATGTGGCCCAGACTGAAGGTCCTAACTGTGGAGACCCATACAATCTAAGCTCCTGTAACTTCTGACTCTGGCGCCCATCAATCTCATCACTTTACAGTTGAAATGCCAAGCCCTGACTTTCATGTCTCACCCTGCCACCATCACTCCTGAGAGGTGTCCCAGCTCTCCTTCCCGCCTGCCCTAACTCTGAAAATTGATGTGATGGTGTAATTAAGTGCCTACACAGAACTGTCACCTTTAGGAGATGACGGATGGGTTTGAAGAAAGTTAATACTAACCCCGTATTCTCCTTAGCACAGAAAAAATCTCTCAATGCTGTTAAAACCAAGTCAATGGTACTAAGACATGCATGTTAGAAATGTAGAGGTAGTGACAGCCTGAAGATATTGAATTTCCAGTCACTAAAGCTGGCTTCCCCCCATCCGTTTCTCACAGTCTAAGCAAAGCTATGATCCCAAGCTACCAATACTACTAGTTCTACAGCTAATGGCTTTTCTGGCCAAAATCATTCTTATGCACATCCTGAATTTTCAGTCAATACCTACGGGTTTAATGGACTGTGAACCTCATCATCAACTCTGCCGAAAACTCTGACAGATGAACAAGTTCCAGCTTCCCTCCTCTCCCCCTGCCTGCTACATGAGGTGAACGAAGGCAAAACGCAGTTAGAAGCTTAAATCTTTCCAGAAATGTGGCTAAAATGTCAGTTGCCCATCAGATCATTTCTAACTGATTTGACCCTGATTGGTTTTTCAAAATTGCAATGTATCTGTGTCAGATTTTAGACTAGCAAACAAAAAGCAATATTTAAAGTAGCATTTTAAGTATGGATGTATTCAGAAAGTGACATCTTTCCTGCAGTGAGCAGTGGGGAAGTAAATAGCAGCAGCGCTATTCAAATACTGTACTGCAGAGCTTATCAGATCACTGACATCCTTAAAACTATAGGAAATAACACTGGCAAACTATCATGAGCTATAAAAGAGGATGTGCTGGTGTACTAAACCTTGACAAATGGGCAGATTATCCCATGTTCCATCGTCTTGACATATTGAAACCATGTTGTCTAAGTCAGGGTAACGGATCTGGAATCCTTCATGACAGCTGATTATTAATTTATCGCCAGTCCTGTATGTCTTGTTATGAACCTCTGCATCTTCAACGTGTGGAACAAGGCAATCTGTGACTTCATGAGAAAAACAAGAATAGTAACTTAATTAAAAAAAACATGGCTAGCTATTCAATAATAAAGCTCTTAAGCAAAGGTTATCAGATAATATAAGTGCTCTGCTTAAACTGTTTGGAAAATACAACATTTCAGTAAAGACGTTCTTTCC